GTACTTTTGAGAATTTGCATAATATTGTATTTTGTAAATTTTTAACGTTATACCTAATAATAATAATAATAATAATAAAGATTTTATACTTTAAAAGTTTGAAATATCTCTCTATATATAATGAGGTCATTATAATATTTAATTAGATATATCTACTCATTAAACTATGTAGGTACCTATAACATATTGAACATGATCAATACATTTTTTTTCTTAGTCTGAAATACAAACATCCTGCCACCCAATTAAACAGATGACTGAAGAATATACAAATTATTTAGAAAAAACTGGTGTTATTGATAAACTAACTAATGTTTTAAAGCTATTGTATGAAATGGATGAAAAACCAGTTAATCCTCTCGAGTATTTATAACACATTTCCTCATTAAATACGTAATGTTTATTAAACATACATTTTTTATAATATCAATATTATGTTGTTTAATATAATTTTATTAAAAATTAAAATTATTATGATTTATAGATTCTACGTTATTATTAATGATAAATAATAAAAATATATGTATAGTAGCAATGTATTCAATTGTTGAAACTATACTATAGTTAATAGTTTCTAAATTACTTTACATCATTGTCAGTTAAATTAGTTATTATTGTAATCAATTTGTGTCACATAAAAACTGAATGTACATATAATCTGCTGTGCTTCCAATTAGTAAATGTATACATTTTTATAAATTCTATTTAAATTTTATCCTACAATAATTTAAACTCCAAATACGACAACTGATCATCGGAAATAATTTACTATTTGTTAATTGTTATACTTTTGGAATTACGTAAAGTTTTGCCGGTTAAATCGTAAATACTCCTAAAACTTGGGAGTTATTTAAACAATGAGGCAATATGTAATGTTTAAAAAATATTTTATATTATAGTTGTGTTGATATTTTTTAGTTAAGATTTAAATTTGTTAAATAATGTTTATCTTTATAAACAATAAAATACATAAAGGTACTATCTATAAAATTGTAATACTTTATTAATGACATAGTATATAATTTTAACCTTCCGCATTTAAAAGCAATTTATAGACGATCTTTACTTATAATTGTAACACAGCAAGGGAACTATTTAATGTAATCTTAGGTAATACTATATGATACAGTTTGTCAGGTCATCGCATCTTCCAGTTTTAAAAATATTAATATGTTCAAGCAGTACTTTTGAGAATTTAACTTCAATAAAGTTTTTTTTCCAGTTGAAATTGTAAAAAAAAAAAAAAAACATAATATATTGATGATTTTTTGATCAACCCTGGTACACCTAGGTATTGGTTTTAATATTGTAATACTTCTTAATAATAATATACATCACTATAGTTTTCTATGATTTGTTAAAAGCAAAAGTATTCCCCAATTTATCTACTTTTTGCTCAGTGTATTTTACTACAGCGATATAATATAGGTGTAATAATATGTAATATGAATTTTAACTTTTTAATATATATATTTTGATTTTTGCTCACATACAAACGTCATTCACCGTATATTATGAAGTTATTAATTTTTCCATACACCATAGACAATAAAATATTGATTTTTCATCATCTACAGTTATTAACAATTATTATATATTTAGTTAAAAAGAGAATTTTACAAATTAAAATTCTTGATATATTATAATGCCATTTAAAAATATAGATTTATACGTACGAATATGACAGAAGTTATCCCAGAAAAGGTAGAGTTAACACAGTTAGAAGAAGAGTATGACACCCTAATTCAAGAGATTGCCATATTCCAACAAGAAATCATGAATATGACGAACAAGCTAAACGAACTAGAAACAAATTAAAGTGATAATATCGTAAAAATAAATTTCAAAGGAAATACTGTTGATGGTACGCAAATGTATGTAAATGTAGAAAAAATATAATGAAAAATAGACTTATATTTTAATTAAGTTTGAGTCTTTTATGATAAATTAATGTTTTTTAAATAATAAAAATATTTACAAGATTATTATATATATATTATATTTTTTCTTTGACTTTCAACTTCTACTCGACTACGTCATTAAATGAAGTTATTTATATAGTTGTTTACGTGCTAGGTTATACACTTATACTGAATGTTAATTTTATATTATAAGTTGGTACCTATACCTATATAATATATATATATAGGTACGGCGCATGTATTAATGTTACATATGTTAAATAATATGTATAGGTACGTTAATACATAAAAAAATATTAATTTAAAAAAAAAAAACAACAATCTATTGTGATACACAAATCTGTAGTCAAATTAAATTTTCGAAGGGGGGGATGTTATTTACCTGCGTAAAAACCTAATCATAAATCTAAAATTTTATTTTATTTTTCCTATTAAAAACATTATAGCATAATAAATAAGTTTATAAATATCGTAAACAAAAAAATAGAAACATGCTTATTTTGAACTATTTAATATCTTGTTCTAACTTTGTACTAACCTGTTTCATAACCTATATTTATTTCGGCAGTACATATACTTAATACTTTAAAACTTAACATAACTCAACAAGTATCATTGAAGCTAATAATTTATTCAATAAATTTAATATTATACTATGTATATATATAGTGTACCGAATAAGTAATAGCGTATATTAACTTTAATAACTTCAAAAAATTTTCTTTATGTTGAATATTTAATATGAGTAATGAGCTCATTACATAAACAAAAACTAGTACTACTATTATGTTGGTTTCACAAAGAAGAGTTTTACTTATTCAGACAGAAAAAATTGTCCATATATTTAAGCGTATAGTTCAATTGAGAAATTATAACTTGGTGGAATATCAATCATAAATTGTATTTTATAAATGTGTTTTTTTTTTTATTATTACTATGGGTTAAGAAATCTCACATGAAAAGAGCTAGTATAGTTGTGAAAATATTTTTTAATAAATTATTACCCATTTTCATGGTTAGTAAGTCCAAATTATTTTTCAAATAAATCTAATAATTTACTATCTTACATAAAAGTGGAAACTCCGATATAAATGAGTCTGTTTATGTATACTATATTACAATGAATTATTTATCATATATACAGATATACTATAACTATAGGTAGTTCCTATTGCTACACTAGAAACAATGATTGAAAGTATTAGTTTTTAGATAAATAAACGGTAGTTATTTATTTATAACGCTATAAATTATAATTAGGTAGCTCATATGAAGAGATGATGCAATACTTACCTAATGATATTTTCATATTTTTAATGTCCCGCATATTTGATACATAGTTTTTTTACGCGATATTTTGTAAAAGTTTTAAGTTAATTGAGAAATGTTATTTTTATTCTATTCTAAAAAATTGATGATCTAATAATAATTATTTTCCTTTCCTTATTAGGTAGATAATTGTATAGATTTTTGTAATTATTATTTAAAAAATATATATTCATATTTTATGATAAAGCTTAATAGTTTAGTTTAATAGTTTTTTATTATTCTAATTAAATCTGTTATCACAAATTTCTTGTCTAACACAAAATATTACTTAAGTAATGACGAGTAGTTCGATATTATTAGCAAAAGTAACCAGTATTTCATATATTGATTGACCAATTTTCTTTATTTTGTTGAGTTCTTGTCGTAACAACATTTTTATAAGTTCTAACATTTGAAATTGATCAATCTTCATAAAATGATATAAATATGAATGAAGGTAAGTATATATTACTTATATTAATTAATAAAGTAATAAGCAATAGGTACATTATTTGATTATACGTTAATAGATATAATATAATACTATATACTATTTAGTATATACCTATATTTATAGACATATTAACATATAAACATAGGTATTTTTAAACAACATAAATCACAATCCTAAGTAGATAGTTCTAATTTTCAATAAACTATAGGTATAGGTATATACATTCATTAAAATGTCTCAATATAATAATAATTTATTTTATTATTAATAAGACAACATAGCTTTAAATGTTGAACGGTTAAAATTGTTTCTTAGATATAGTAAAATGTCATTAACTTAATGTGATACGTATTATAATTCTCAATTTTTTCATAATAATAGGTATATGATTATACGATACATCATCACATATATTATTTGCATGCTTCTTGCACATCTTTTACTATACATATATAAGTATAAATACGATTATTATACACCAATAATTATTGGTACCCTAACGTCCCTAACCTACCTACTTATTAATATATAACAATACATGAAAAA